AAATAAAAATAACTGCTTTATTTAATTAGAAGCAGGGTAATTTAAATTTCATTTTTATATTGTAAGTTTTATAATTTTTATTTTATTAATCAAAATACAACGCCCACAATATAATATTCAGTGTTGGGCTGCCGAAACTCCGAACGCATGCATGTTGAGGGGCTAGCTGAGAAGCCTAATGTCTTCATCCGTTTGTAACAAAACTTGTTGCAAATGATGCAAATGAATTAAGAATTTATAGTGCTATATCTCAGCTTAATTAAACATAATTATATTGTTTAAAAAAATATACAGTCTGTTTAAATAAATATTCAGAAACATATGCAGTGCTACTTTGTCTTTTTTCTGTTTAACTTTTATTAAACTGCAGCTCAAAATAGAATAGGCCTATACCCTAAATAAGGATAAATTATATTGGAACGCATCTCCAAATTAATCGCATACACAGATGCACGTTGCCATTACAGTAGTCAGCGCCGAACAACAGGCAAATAAAATATAAACTGAGGTTACAAAAGTGATTCAGTCAAGATCAATGAGGGATTTTCTTTTCTTTTGTTCTCTGATTAACATTAATGACTGGCGATCAGCGGCTGCTGTCAATGTACGGATCCAATACACCCTTATTTTCTTTCTCAACTCTTTACGTTCACTTAAGACATAACCGATTGTATTTATGGGACATTTTGATATAATTCTGTGTGTATTTGTCCATTCGAATGTGTAAGAATGCGAGAAAGAGAGCTCAGTCCAGTGTTCGCGTATATAAGAGGCGACTTTTGTGCGTGCACTTTGTGTGTGTGCATGTGTGCAGCACAGAAAACAGCGCGCGAGTGCAGAAGTGAGTTCTATTTCGCCTTCTTGCAGTTGAATCTTTTGAAAAATCACAATAAATGCGCATAAAGAAATCGAGAAGCAGAATCGAAATGTAATTTTATAACAAGTAATTTGATTGCTGACCTTACGCATCTGATCTGATTTCCAAAATTGGAATAGCTTTTCGATTCCCAACCCTCCTACTAAATAATTTCATTCTTGCATGCAAAAAGACCTGTATGGTGACTATATTTGCAACTTACTAGGTTTATCATTTGTCATTTTTTCCACGATAATGTCGATAATCGTCTGTTAGTTGTTTGTAAGCAACTGAAAAAAGCACAAATGCCAGGGCATGTCAAAACTTTTCCAGGCCCCAAAACACCCTCGGACCCCAGAGGGTTAAATAACAAAAAAAGTTCAATATTGCGCCTGACTTTAGACCAGGTTTTTGTTGGTCAATGGCGCAGTCTATTCCAGTTGCCTCAAAATATCAACGCGCCAGCAATGCGCCTGAACACACCTCGTTTTCAGACCAGCACGCCCATGGGCGCAAATTCATTTGCTATTTGCACAACGTGGCAAAAACTAGCAACTAGAAAAAACACTTGCGCCGCGCCTGGCCCCGCATTGCGCCGGGTGTATGATAGGGCCCTTAATGTCCACCGCTGCTACCAACATTGTAACAATACAAAGCTGGTTGAAAATCAGCACACTTATCTTTTTAGGTACTACTATGAACCTTTTAGGTGTTAAAGTACAAAAAGATGCCCTTTTGAGGGTACTGCCTAGTCACAAGCTGTGTGTACTCCTACAGGTACAATTTTTGCACTTTTATTTCCCTGAAAGTGCACCAAAGGAGGAAAATGAGGCAAAGAGACTAGGGGTGGGCTTTTTTTAACACCCTAGTAACATGCTAAAACCACCCACTACACCCCAGTGTCCTGCTGACCAGTTTTGTTCAGACAATCCCTTCTTTAAAAAAAAAATCTAGTTTTTAGTTTCATAACCACTGCTACCAGAACAAAAGAGCAAGGAACAATAAGTACCATAGAAATACAAAGAATGAGGGAGGGATAAAGTAAACATCAAGATTCCTGTACATGAAACTAAACTATATATGATTACCACACAGCTCAGCCCTGTAATTACAGCTCAACAAAAGTAAACACTTGTGCAAAACTGCAGAGACAGGTTTGAAGGTGTTGCTTTTGTTGCTATTCTGAACATGTAACTCCATGCTGCTTAAGCAAACACCAAAACACAAAACGAAATGAGGTATTTGTTCACTGATTAAAAAACAAATTGATACACAATGTTTCAGCTCTTTTGAAATGACCCTGGTTAATAGTCAACGACATGCTCAGAATTCCTCATTAAGTAAACATAATGATAGCAGAGAGCCTGGAAAAACAAATAAGCACTTATTAATGGTTAACATTCTTCATTTATTTCAGTTTTTAGCTATGAGACACATAAATGACCAGAAACTATTTAAAGAGCCTGATGATACTGAACTGCCAATATAAATCAGGACTTGACAGAGTAAAGTTTGAGACAGAGCTCCCCATTTCTCTCATGTCATTTTTAATGGAACAACTCATAACAGTAGATAGCATCAAGGCTGCTCAAAACAATTTGAAGCTAAATTTTGCTGCCTTCTAAGAGCATGGGTTAAGGTTAGGTTTAGGGATAGGTTCAGGGTAAGTACCTAGTTGTTACCCAGTTGTTGTAATTATTATAACAAGTACATAGTATGTACATGTGGAACAGGATTGTAAAATAAAGTGCTACCACAAAATTAATCAAAGATGACAGACAGAGAAATCTTGACAAATTATATTAATTAAAAATTTACTGAATCTATGAAAATATTTTTGTTTTGTAATTAAAAACAGCCCATTTGACCAAATATCTGTTTTGATGACTAGACTTGTATTTTTTTTTTAGCTCAAGTACCAATATCAATATTTATCCTATTAAAAATAAGCAATTAAATGAAATCAATTTTACCCAATATTTGTGTTTTAAGATTATCAGTGACTTGTTTGGCTTAAGCAACATTGCTAACAAACTCTACAGGTCTTACTTAGACAGGGTATATGCCATTTTTAATTTTACATGGATGAAAACAAAGCTATAAGGGATAGACTCAGAGTCTTTACAATGGCACACGCTGTATGAAGGACCTATATCACATGTCATTTTTAAAACTCAACTTTCAAAACTGTTTTATAGAGGGTTTTGTCAACTGAGAGTCTTTTGAAAAGACGTTTCATCTGCTGACCAATTGGTAAGTTGTTAAACAACAGTACAATCCATTTAATACACTGTACTTCTATCCCTCACAGCCTAGTTTCTGCAGGTCAAAAATTAAACATGGCTCTACCCTGAATAAGGTCTATTGGAAGCTGCCTTCTAAATACCTAATTTTAGTCAAATTCTACAGAAGTATCACATGTGTACTTTGTGGATAAGGCAATCCCAGAATGCACGGTGACAAGCCAGTGAGAATTATGCCAAAATGATGGTTAAAGTCAAGGGAAATGCAGATTATGAATATCAGCATACTAAATTCAGTATTGAAACATATTGATTGCAAATACTGCAATCTAATTAAGATGAAATTATCTTACAATTTGTGTGTGCTACATATTTTTATGCATAGTAAAGAGTCATTAGCAACATGACTCTACTCTAAATCACTAAAGCACTGTGTTTGTGTTGCATGCGATTTGTTGCCGACATAAAGAGTTTCAAATCATATATTTTGATTAGGATGCTGTCCTTGAAGATAAGCATCTATGTAGAGAGTGAAGCAGTGGCATGACAGAGAGACTAACCCATCATTGCTGGAGAGGTCCATGTGCTGGTGTAAGTCCTGCAGCACTTCTTTAAAAAAGCGCAGCCTCTTCTTTTCTGCCTCCTGTGTGATTTCAAACACTTGCTCCATGTCTTCCATGTAACGTGGGTTACAGTGATTCAGCTCGTCCAGGGCTCTCTCATAACGCTCCTTAGCCTGAGGGCAAACGTCCAAACACAAGAAACCGGTTGATGGGACAGAGTCATGGGACACAGTTTACAAGGTCAATTCCAGAGTTCAGAATTTCCTGTTCAGAATACATATAATGGACCAGTGCACATTCCCAATGTTTGGATCTAGAGTTGTTTAATCTGAAAGAGCAAGCTGTACCACTTTCTTCATTTGTGAGTCACTTTGGATCAAAGCATGTGCAAAATGAAATGTAAATGTACTAATATGAATTTCATGACTGTCTATAAATTATTGAAAAATGAAAGCAAAACCCTTTTAAATATATAAAAGTATGATGTTTCCCATTACACCTTTGATAAGACAAACTGCAGGAAGTATATTTTTGTGAATGAAACAACACATTCAACAACATGTTATTCACACCCATAATTTTGAATTGTCACAACAGGTTCAAAGACATCATCACAGGGGCTTTACTATTGGCGCAAGCAACAAACAAGCCTTGTCTTGTCTAAGTTTATGGAAATTCTGTCATTTCATTCCCCACCCATCTCCTTCCTCCTAGACATGGACAGTTGTAGACAAGCTAATACAGTAATTACAGACAAAACGGAAAATCAAAAAAAAAAAAAAAAAGATTTAAAAAATAAATTGACTAATAAAACGTAATAAAATCCTAAAGAATTAATAAAGTCCTTAATAAAACAAAAAAAATGTTTTCTGTGCTTTTTTTTCATACCTTTTCTGCTTCCTGGGTAAATTTCTCCAGGCGGTCCGTGAACTTGCGGACCTCATCTTGGGATTTGGTGGGGTCAGCCTTGGCATGTGTTTCACGGGTCAGTGACGTGCGCTCTTCCTTCCGGGCTTGGTGATAACTCTTTTTGGTAGACTCCACCTACCGCAGAGAAGATTTTTACACAACCATACTATTTACTCATTACTAAATACACTGTTACACCAAATACACACATGGTTCTCTAAAACATACTTTTAAAAGGATAGCTCGCCCAAATATAAAGATTCTGACATTATTTACACATCCTAATGTTTACCCCAAACGTGAATGGTGGTCAGGCTATTTTACTAAGCTAAATTTACATTCCATAATTTTACATTCCATAAGAAACTAGTTCAGGTGCCATGACGATGAGCAGATGATAACATATAATTTTGGGTGTACTGCCCATTTAAAAACAAAACAAAATACACAAAACAAAACAAATGAAACGTTGTTCTCTCAGCCATCGTGGCTCATGGATCAAAATTCATAGTATTGGCTTTGTATTCTGCACAGGAGGAGACTCACATCCTTCAGTTTTCGGACCCAGGGTTTCTGGGCCTTGCGGAAGCCTTCATCGGCGTCTTTGGTCTCACGGAATCCACCAATCATTTGCTTGTGGAAGGCATCCTTCTGCCAGTTTCTAATCTTTTCGCTGTCCTCAACAACCAGTTTCTCTTTTAGTTCCATATGGATCTCACTCAGTCTGTCTGCTGCATTCATGAAAGCATGCCAGGCCTTTTCCAGAGTCCCATACTGTGGGCCTGCAGGACAGAAATCAGAATTGAGCTTTATCTGTCAGTTCATTACACTGGATATTTGCTTAAAAGCCCAAGTCAAAAAAGTAATTCTCATCTTCTGCTCTCTAGATACATGTCTTGCCTTGTCTATACTAACTGTAGGTCAGTGTGTCTGCCCCTTTAAGGTCACATGGTCTTCAAAAAGGTAATATAGTCAAAATCCAGTATATGTACACTGGTTGCTAAAGAAATGACGCACAATATAAAGTGATCACTGACACAATACAACATTAGCGACAAAGGCCGCATCACTGTATATCAGTGGCGTTCCGTCCATATAAGCTGCGAATGCTCCGCATACCCAGGCCATTTGAGAGAATAAGTTCACGGGATAATTCATATAAACATGAATATAAGTTGATCCCTTGTCATTTGAAATGTAACTTAAAGCTTAAAGAGTTAGGAATAAGTACGTACAATTATTTATTTGCCAAACGGCAGTCATTTTCTTTAAATCTACCAGTTGCGGTTGCTTCCGGGCGAGCGGATTCTCCGCAGCTTTCTCGTCTCCGCTCTGTTGCTATGACTCTTAAGGATTGTAGCACGTTCTCAGTGATTTGCTGGTCTACGGCAGATTTAATGCACGAGGTAAGCTGTCAGTCCACTGAAAACATATCTTCTTACATTTTTGGTCATAGACAACGTATGTTGAAGATATAGGCCTAGGCCTACGTTATTGTCAACGTTATTGTCTAAGCAGTAAATTAAAAAAAATTATGTTTATAAAAACGTGGGCTGTATAAAATTTTAATAATAACAAACATCATATTGTTCCCTTTGTTTTGCGTATGCTCGTGTCGCTTACAGTTAAAGTCCTCTGATTTTATTTTTGTTTGCAAGGTTGCAACGTTACTTTGCAATATTTAAAAAAATTTTTGGGTATTTTGCATGGTCTGTTATTAGTGTCACCCCGGTGGGAATTTTAACTCCTATTCACAGAGAATAAAAAAATAATTTAGCAGATGCAGAGACTATATAGACCGGGGGAATCCCCCCATCTCCCCACCCTCTGATTACGTATCATAACGTAACTACGTGTAAACGTTATTTGGCGGTTTTTACTTGGAAAACCAGCTATATTTTTCTTGCATTGGAATAATGGATAAACTTGAAGCGATAGAAGAAGGATTGGAGATGAATTTCATTTACAAATAAGGTAGGAAATGTGCATACTTTTAAATCGACCCCTGCCACAGTGTTTCTTAGCTATTTGTCATCTGTGATCCCTTTTGAGTGTCCTAAAAGCCGGGGGGGTCTTATCACTCAGCATACCCGGTTAAAAAAAGTCACCGCTCGCCACTGCTGTATATTGCACTTTCATACCTTCTTTTCCCCAAACTACTGCACAACTATTAAGGGTGGGCACTGGCAGAGTAACATCACTGACAGATTTATAATCATTGTATTATGATACTTATAAACTCATCAGAATAGAATGTGTTGATGTTACTGTAGAGGGATGCGTCTACTTTAGGAGGATGAACTATGAGACTCAAAGTCATACTCGCCTTTCTCCACAACACCCCTCCATTTCCTGGCCCAGTCACTCAGCTGCTGAGAATAGCCCTTCTCAATCTTGGCACGCTCCTGGAAGCAGCTGACCAGCTCGTTGCATAGTTTGTAGCCATCGTCAGTGCGTTTAACCGTCCTCTTGTAGTTCCCAGGCTGACCAACGAAAGTCATGTTAGAGTCATATTAAAATGTTGCACACAGAGTTGATATATTTTATTTTTAAATCTGACTGATTCGGTTCTCAAGTTTAGCTCAGTGACTCAATGATCTTGTCACGGCAGTTAAAAGCTAGGATTATCATTGAATAATTAAATTTCAGTCAAGTAAAGTTTATTACTTATTAAATGTAAGTTTATAGAATTAGATTCATTATTTATGACTCTAGTTCCTTTAACATACATAAACCAGTTTAGGAGTAGGGTAAGCTGTGCTATTTTTAAGTTAAATTTTCCTTTAAGCAAGGAGAAATTAGATCGTATTTACTGTATATTTTTGCACCAACAAACACAAGGGCTTTGTGACAAATCTCAAAAGCGGTAAGCTACATTTGGGGTAAGCTGTGTAATGTCAAGCGATGAATTGAATTATAAGGGAATACATGAATAATTTATATTTCAAACAAAACTATGAATACAAATAAACTATTTATTATACACAACACCATTCCAAAAATATATTTTACTACCCCACTGGCACATTCTACCTGATTCTCCCCAAAATTACTGTCTGTACTACACTGCCAACAAAGCTGATAGTAAAATAAACCTTTCACTTTCACTTCACTATCTAAAAGCACTTCATATCTGTTAGTTTTCTCCAAGACAAGTGTGGACCTGACCAAGCATGCTTAAAAAACAATGGAGAAGTGGTACTCCTACTACAAATCTCGCCAGAAGCGAAAACCTCTTAGAGAACACATGGAAATATCAGATCTGCAGGGATCCGTTCCTGTAGTCTCCAACACCCTGGTTGGACGCTACAGTATGCGGCCCACTCTATCAGGAAGATCGTGTGCATATGTGTATTTGCGGTGGGGGATACTTACCTCCCAGAAGCTGTCCCAGCTCCCAACGTCTTGCAGATCACCGTTGGAAGACATTTTGGGGTCACCCTTGCAGCACGGAATGATGGCGGCTGTCTGTCAAACTGTGAAGAACAAGACATGAAATCAAATAGTGCCAACAACTGTAGTTAGTAACAACAACATTTTTACATTATTGAACAAGACACAACCAAAGACAGCAGTCTTGCCAGAGAAGAAACTAGTTTATCCAGTCTCTGCTCTACATGGCAAAGGCCCTCAAGTTCAATCCAAAAAACTAAGCAGAGGCAATTCAAAATATATTCCATAAACATTTCACTTGCAAGCAACCTGTTGTGACCCAACACTCCTTGGCCTCTACAGTTAAGACATCTGCCCAGGCACAGTAATCCTGTATTCCAATACAGAGAGGAAGCCAGCGTAGGCCAGTCTCACCTCTCTGGGTCTTTGTGTCTGCCTAAGGCAGCCTAGGTGAGGCAGAAGCTTCTCTGCACCAGTCTGGGTGGAGTCACAAAAATTATGTCACCGTCATCCAGGTCCTCCCACTAATTTGTTCTGATGGAATGTTGAGTACACTACTAAAAATAAAGGTTCTTTATTTGCATTGATTTTTCCATGAAGAACCTTTAACATCCATGGAACCTTTCCATTGCACAAAGGGTTTTTTATAGTGGAAGAAAGACCTTTAGATCATTAAAATGTGACCCGTGCTGGCAAAATGAGTCGGAATGAGCACATTTTCAAAAATGAGTTCTCTTCATTTTCACATTCTACATTAAAATGCCTTCAAAATCATATATAACTTGTTGGAATCAGACAAAAAATGACTGAGCTACAGCCATTTGAAGGCGATAGAGTCAGCAAAGTTGATTTTGAGAAAAATCAAGTTAAAGTTTTCTGAAGGTTCCAAAGCAAAATCACCAAGCAACAATGCATATTTTCCTCCAATTATGTTCTTAATAATAATAATAATATTATTATTATTAAATCACAATATACAGTGGTGTGAAAAAGTGTTGGCCCCCTTCCTCAGGTGTGGCAGTAATCAGGCCTGGGTGTGGCTAGAGAAATTGAACTCAGGTGTGATAAACCACAGTTTTAACAGGGGGGCAAACACTTCTTCACACAGGGTCATGTAGTTTTGGATTTTGTTTTCCCTTAATAATAAAAACCTTCATTTAAAAACTGCATGTTGTGTTCACTTGTGTTATCTTTTACTAATATTTAAATTTGTTTGATGATCTGAAACATTAAAGTGTGACAAACATGCAAAAAAATAAGAAATCAGGAAGGGGGCCAACACTTTTTCACACCACTGTAGCTGTTTTTTATTTTATCTTTGTTATTAAAAATAAGATACAAAGATGCAAATAAACTGTAGTTTAAACAAGAGCAGCGAATTATTCCGTCTTTTCTTTTAACGTTTGATTAACATCGAGACAGATCAATATTTTGACCTACTGTAATGCATGGATCTAATGTTACACATCAGATTTTTCCCCAACCATTAACTGAACGTTCATGTAAGACATAACAGATCATGTTTGTGTGAATCTCACCAAGACATATTTCGCAATAATGTACTTTATAGGGAGATTGCGCGCTCTCGGAGAGTTTGCAAATGACAGTCAGCGCGATCATTTTGTTTGTCAGCATGGGTTTGAAAATCATATTTTACTGGTTCAGACTCATGTCATTCAGAATTCGCTATGAATATTCATAAAGCTGGAATGCTGTGCTTCGCAACGATATATCCTACAACTTGTGGTGAGATGCAGCAGTCGTCCAGAAGTGAGCAGAGAAAAGGATCTCCTCTCAGAAAACGTACAAATAAAGATAATTTTAGAAGTTTAATTACCGGTACTATTTGAACCATTGGGATTCACTAGAAGAGGGCTTGATGAACTAATTTTTGTGAAAACCTCAAATTCGACCAAAACTAGGATTTTTCACTTATTTTGCCTGTAGCTCAATATTAGACCATGCGCATTCCGACTCATTTTGCCAGCACGGGTCACAAATGTTCTTTACACCAAGAACAAAAATGGTACTTTTAAGAACTGTTCACTGAAAGGTTCTCTGGAGAACCCAAAATGGTTCTTCTATGCCATCGCTGCACACTCTTATACATAAAGGTTTCAAAAATGGGGGTTTCACATTAGGGGCTTTTGACCTGGGTGGTTATAGGAACTCACTTATAGGGACTAGCCACCAGGGCAGTACCCTGAGAATTAATGTTGCATTCACACTGCCAGTAGGAACTCTGAAGTGACATAAGCTGGTTGACAGCGACATCATTTAAGCGCGGCCTTCAACAACGTCAACAACTGGAGGATAGAGGAAGGAGAAGAGCCTGGACTTCTGACATTTGTCCATCTATCACTGGTTTCCATGTTCGTGGAGTTAGTTTCTGGAGTAAGCATGTGTAAACTGGGTGTTTACACTGCTTTTTAAAAAAGGCAGGTGCCAGTGTTTCGTATGGCACGCGTTCGGCCAATCAATGTACACGTCACTGGGAGCTCCTATTTTGCTGGGTTAGACCCTACTCTGTAGTAGGGGCTAATTTAGTCTCCCCATATGGTGTTCCTATAACTAAAATCATTCTAAGTTCCTGGGTTGTGAACACACCAAAAGTCGTGTATTTTAGCCAATTGTTATAGGAACTATGAAAACTTTCCTCCGGTGCAAAAGCTCCAATTAGAAAAAACATGGTTACCCAAAGAACCTTTCAGTGAACAATTCTTAACAGAACCATTTTGCTCTTAGTGTGAAAAAAATCTGAATAATCTAAATTCCATTTTTCCATTCGTGCAATGGAAATGTTCCATGAATGTTACAGGTTATTAATGGTTTAACCATAAACGCCAGTAAAGAACCTTACATTTTTATTAGTGGAAAATCCCCTTTTATATGGAACCATTATTTTTAAAAGTGTAGCAAGATAGTAATGTTGATAAAAATATGTCCAATGCCATGGAAGTGTCCATTCGCTATTGCTCATGGGGACACAGGAGACACTATGCCTCTCAGGCGCTTAATCATCGCCTTAAAATAACCTGTTTATTAACGCACAAACTGCTTTGGCTATTGCATAAACTACATTTAGTCCAAACAGAACAAGTATGTGTACACCTAATGAACCTTGTACACGCTCTGCCCGTGCTTGTATACATTTAGCACTACTTCTGGCCTTGGATTCTTTTCGTATTGTCTGAGCCAAGGTTGTATAGCTTCCTCAAACAGACACAACAAATGGGAGGAAGGAGTGGGATTGGCCGCGCAGAGGCATCTGCTTCCAATTCAGGCCAAACTGGCTATGCTAATGGAAAATTTGCATCCTCAAGGGGGATTTGGGAACTAACAGAGTGTTGAAGAGCATTTGCTGTGGATGTTGATTTGTCAATCTGTTGAATGGTTTGTTAAATCCTGGTTTTCAATATCTTTTTAAATTTGACAAAGGTAGGGCTGGACAGTGCAGTGGGACAAATAAATAAAAAATTACCATTACAAGATATTATTTTTGGTCCATATCGCCTTAGCTTTAGCATTTTAGAGAAACAACTGCTTTTAGCATGGCTAAGAGTCTAACAGTTACTGTTAGCATGCTAATAAAAGTTGTTTTTCTACAATTAGCCACTTTTTAAGCAAAAAAATTGCTCAAGCACATTTCAAGAACCCCTACGTTCTGTGTTTTGGCTTATCCCTAATTTCAAACAGATCCTTTTAACACAACTGTTTGTTGCTGTTCAAAGTAAATCACATCTACATCTGACTTCACATCCTTGAAGATCATTTGGGCAAATAAGCAGAAGTCTGTTTTTTTTTTACAGCAAATAAAGAGAGCTTGGATTACTTCCCCTGAACTTCCTCCCTGTGAGGTGAAGGCAGGGGCGGGAGTGGAAAGTCAGCTCCTGATGATGGTATTTCTCACAAACATGCCAGGAGGAGCGCTGATATGAGAGTTTCACTTGAACTTCAGTTGCTAATTTAAAATCAAAAACTTTGACTGGAATACTAGAACTGGTACAGAGTACTAGCATACTTCTAATGGGGTAGTATGCATAGAATACTGGCTACTATTAAAAAAAATATCTGAAACCGTACACATTATAGGGCTGGGTGATAAAATGATATCATATTGAGTTGCGATAAATCGATAACGATGATAAGCTCTGGACATTTTTACTCGATATGGATTAATATAACCGCAGAAATATATGCGACAACAGCCAGTCAGTGTTTGACGCTAATAGGCTAACGCTGCATGTCTCTGTGTAAATGAATGACGCAATTTCCTCGGATACACAAACTCAAACAAACGTGACGCTCACAGTTATTTCAGCATCTGCGTCTCAATATACGAGAACATTAATGCATGAACTTCATCACCAGAGCTGCTCTGAGTAACACTTCACAAGCTTTTCACTATTTAATTTGAGAAAAACTATGGTCACATACACACTGAAACTGAAAGTAATACTGAAAGACCTTTACAACAACCCATCAAAATAAAAGTCTGGTTTAACTTGAAGAAATTATGAAAGAAATATTTTACTATTGTATACAAAATTGTAATTCTCAAGTAGTAGTAGTAGTAATAATAATAATAATATTTTAAGGATTATCATACAACCAAGGTATTTTTCATTAATGTATACAGTTGTACTGTTGTGCAGCATCTTATTTGACAATAATAAAAATGCAATGTTTTGTTGTAAATTAATTGTTATCATTTCATTACATTTTATAAGACCGATTCAATTGTTAAAGTCTTATTAATTCATTTAATTAGACACCATATTTATAATAAATTTGTATTGAATCATAAAACACAGAATCCAGGAAAAAAAATAATATGAAAATAGACTTTGGGGGAAAATAAAACAGATTTCATGGGGCCCTAAATTAAAGGGTTATTCCACCCCAAAATGAACATTTTGTCATTAATCACTTACCCCCATGTCGTTCCAAACCCGTAAAAGCTTCGTTCTTCTTCGGAACGCGATTTAAGATATTTTGGATGAAAACCGGGAGGCTTGTGACTGTCCCATTGACTGCCAAGTAAATTACACTGTCAAGGTCCAGAAAAGTATCAAAGACATCG